CAACAGTGACCCAGCTACTCCAGTGGATTTCCCGAGATAACCCCCTTCACAGGATCAGTGAACAGTGGGATTTTAGAGCTGCCCATAAATATAGTTAGGAGAATTTTCTGAAATAGTCCAGTCCTTGGTGATCATGCTTCAGAGAGACTCCTGAACTATCTTACTCTAGAGATATCAGGGGACTGTAGGCCTGGGGTGTCCCTCTCTATAGTACCAGTGTTACAGTGGGGTTCCTGAGCTAGCCCGCCCCCTCGTGACAGCTCCCACAGGACTACAGCTATCCTATTCCCTGGTGGGTCTTGCTGTAGAGAGAGTTCTAGAGCAGCGCATTTCCCAGTGACCAGGGTCCCAGGGAGCTGGGGAGGACATTCATATGCTCTCTTTACGCTTCCTGGAGAGTTCCCCATGATGAGGGTGAAATCCATAGATGGCCTGGGCACCCCGAGTCCCAAGTTCAGTCCCCATTCATCCACCAACTCTCTGGGTGACTTTATGCCAGTTCTTCTCTCTGGATGTCTCTTCTCCCACCTGGAAAAAGTGCACAGTCTTTCAAGTCCTCCCCTTCAATGACAAGTGGAAGGGCTCAAGGCCCTCTGGCCTTGGAAAAACCATGATGACGCCAGGTGTTCCTCGTGGTGGCGTCTTCTGATGTCTCTCTTTGCTATCAGTTGCAGAGAGCCAGGAGTTATTCCCTTTGTAGAATCAGCACGGGTGCCCGCCGGCACTACGGTAAGGATGTCTAAATCCTGGAGAGCTGCTGTGCCCTATTGCGTGGGGCTTGATTTGCCCACCAGCAGTCTCCCGCAGCTCACTGGCAAATAGTCCCTTCCACAGAGCTTGGGTTTGGATGTACTGGCACCTGGCGAGGCGCGACCCTTCTCCAGGCACGGCAGGTTAGATGGGGCTGATGGGGGCAGAAAAGCCTCTAAGAACCAAACCTGACACTCTAAAGGGGAAGGACAGTGGGAAGCATCCCTTGCCCTTCAGATGGCTGGTCTGGTAAAGTCTGCAGTATGTGTTCTCCAGGACCATTAAGCCAAAGAACAATGGCATTCTAGTAAGATGCAGGAAATTAGGACACAGAACTGGCTCTTGGTCGGTTAGGACCCGGAGGAAATTGTGCTCCTAGGAAGATGACCGCACCCCTCTACCCCACCCAGCCTGCTCCTGGTCCTCCTCTTAAGGCAAATCTACCTTTTCACTTCAGGATCTGCCTGGAAAAGATAAAAGAATGTGAAAATTCTACACAGAATTCAGAAAGTCAGAATCTTGGCCTCAACAGACCCTGGGACCCCAGGACATCCCCCAGTGAAGGGGATGAACAGGCACATCAACCTCCCAGCCCCTCCTAATGAAGCCCTGTTCCCTTTCTTTGCACGATATGGGTGTGTTTCAGGGGCTGTGTGGCCCCTGTAGTGGCTCATTGGTGTAACAGTGATCGGCACTGGCTTTGGAGTCAGGTGAACCTGAGTTCAAATTCTGCCCGCCAACTGATTCTCTGAAACTGTTTGCTCTTCTGCAATATGGGGGTGAGAGACGTGCACACATCTTAAGGGATAATCCAGAGAAAAAGCATGAAGAAAGCTGAGGTGCAGAGTCTGGGACAGTATAGCAAGTTGCCTCCACTGGCAGATGGTCAAGCAATGACGTGGAAGGGAATCCTCAGGTGTTGTGAGCACCCACAATCCAACCCACTGCTTTATCCGTGCTCCCCCTAGACCAGCCCCACAATCGTAGGGGCAAGATACTACATGTGTTTCAATTCCCCACTCCCTCTTCTGCTATGGGGGTCATGCAGGAAGGGTAACAAGAATGATCCAGCACCAGCAAGGTTCTGGGGAGGGTGGACAAGAGTCGGGGGACTGAAGTGCATTTCCCAGACTACACCACAGGGTGGAGTTATAATCCTACTAATCCCCATTTCTTACCTTTATTTCCGTCCCCTCCGGAATTTTTTGACTTTTGTAAAAGTAACATTTTATTGGTACCAGGCACTGTGGTGGGACTTGTCTCATTTCATTTTCAAAGCCACTCCTCATACTCATCAGTGTCATTAACTCCACCTTAAAGATGGGGAGACTGAAGTTCAGAGAAGTGACAGGAAGTGACAGGTGGGCTGAGGAATCAGCACATTTGGGTTTAAATCTCCATCTTGCACCTCCTAGATACTTGGCGTCTCTATGTCTCAGAGAGAAAAATGAAAAATGGGGACGATTGTCCATAGCATGTGAGCTCGTAGGCCTGAGCGATCTTGGCTCCCTGTCCAGCCTGCATGGTGTACCTCGCTTGGATCGCTTCATGGGATCCTCAGAGCCACACTTGGGGATGACTGTCAACATCCCTGTCATCCCTCAGATGAGAAAGCTGAGGCCCGGCGAGATCAGCTGACTGGCTAAAAGGAGGCAGAGTGAATCCTAACTCAGGTCTCAGGCAGAGGCAGGGGACTCAGGGTGACTGTGAACTTTGGGAGGGGCGCTGCCCCAGGTTCCTGTCCGACCCCACAACTGCCCTGCAGTGCCCTTGCTGAGGCCCACGCTGCTCTGGCCTCAGTTTCCTCACTGTTGCTATAAGGAATTGGGGTGCACAGAGCCGGGCCCTCATTGTTTCTGACTGCCCTGTTGGGACACTCACCAGGATGCTAATCCCATTTCTTACCTTTTCCCACCCCCCACATAATGTTGTAAAGGTAGCCAAGCACTGTGCCAGGCACTGTGGTGGGTCCTTGAGGCTGATGACTTGGGGTGCGGCTTACCCCCTGACAGGGTGCTGGTATGGGTCACAGCCACGCCTCCACCGACTGTGGCCAAGAGACCATCCTGGAAGCCCCAGGGCTGAGACTTGGGTGTCCTGTGGAGGGGAAGGCCCCCAGTGCCCAGGAGTCTCCCCATACCCTCACAAAGCAACCCCAGAGTCCAGGCCTCCCTAGGCCTCTCTCATGTCCCTTGGGCCCATGGCCTGAAGACCCTGGCCGCGCAGCGTGAGGCTGTCCCACCTGGGGATGCTGCCGACGCATTCATTTCTCAACCTTCTCTTGCCAGCACCTTGTGAACAACCTGAGGGTGCCCTGGGGACAGTCACATGGAGCCAGATGGGAGGACAATGAAGGGAGGGAAGAGGGAAGTGGAGCTGCCCGGGGTTCTTCCCGATAGTCTCTTCGGGGCCCACAGCACTTGTCAGGCCATCAGCTGCCAAAGGATCTTGGTGGGACTCAGGGAACATCCCTATCATGACGTGTATCCCTCCAGGCAACAAATACATATGGCTCATATTTGATGTGAATCTGATCTATGCAAATCCATAATAGTGTCCTGTAACACAGTCATGATGTTTTGCACTGAGAGGAAAGTTGATTGCTAAGAACACAATCTCCCCTCCTTAGAAAGAGCCAAGATCCCTCTCTTTACGTCACACTCCCCCAACTCCCTCCTTCCCTTGTGCTCCCCTTCGCAGCAGAGCTCCTCAGGGCTATGCTTCTCGGCCTTGAACAGGTGCAAGAACCACCTGGGGCTCGTGTTAAAATGCAGGTCCTGATGTGTTTGGTGAACCTGAGATTCTGTTTCCCACAATCTTCCTGGAGAGGCTGATGACTTGGGGGCACGGCTCACCCTTTGGGCAGGGTGCTGGTGTGGGACACAGTCACACCTTCACTGTACCCCACCAACCTAGCCTCACCAGGTTCTCAAGGGTCTCCTATAGAGGACACCCTAGAACCCTTGTCAGAGTCATCTTATTTGGCCACAGCAGACACCACTTCCTCCTCCTCAAAACCAGTTCTTCCTCTGGCTGTGCTCCCTTGGCGGGCCTTATGCCCCTCTGACCACGGCACCTCTGCCTTCTCTGTAGATTCAGCGCTTCCATACTGGCCAGTCAGTGTGCATCTTCCACCTCGGTCACTGTGATTGGCTCAGTGCTCAACCTAGAACCCTGGCCCAGCCAATAAGGAGTAGCCCTAGACTTTTATTAGGAAAGAGAGACTCTCCTTCTGCCTTGGTTGTGAAGAGAGTGGGATCTGGAGCTGCTTCTGGCCATCTCTGCCCCCCTTGGGGGTGGAGGAGTCAGTTTGAGAATGAAGCGAATAGGGAGAATGTAGAGCCAAGTCATGGAGATAAGCAGAGTTCCAAGGTTTCTGCTGAGCACTTGGATTCAGCTATGCCTGAAGCCCACGATTAATGAGTCAATGTTGTCCTTTGATACTAAATCAGTTAAGGTGTGGTTTCCATTAAAAACCACCCAAATATCCTTGACAGGTGCAATTAACAAACACATTTTAGCTCATTCTGTATAAGCTACAGTGCCGCCGACCGGCGCAGCGGTAGATTAGCAAGGCTGACCCAGGGATGAGAGACTGAGCAGGGGGGTCAAGGATTCGGTAAAAAATGACAGACAGACACACTTCAGGAGTGAACATCTGACTGTAATGTGCTCAAAATCATCATACATTTTTAAACATTTTTTAACAATGGATGATTTCATACAAGTTAATTTTTTCTCAGCATGAGATGATTACTAATACATAACACATCATGCTACCTATCATTGTAGACGTGATTAGTGTTGCATAGTAAAGTACAAAAAACAATCTCAAGGTAACGATCACAGGACTCTAAGCCTACACAATTATTCATGATTACAGAACAACATTCTTTAAGCTAGTTTTTCTTGTTCTGTTTCCAAGGCTTCAGCTTAGCAGATTTTATAAAAAGTTTAATATTTATCCTAGTCTACATTTCACTTCAGGTAATCACATAGCAATTTTTATGTATGTAAGAAATTTATTATTTATGGTATTGTCTCATGTGAGAAGTATTGTGGTTACTAAAAAACTAATATTAACACAAATCATTTTCTTTGTCATACATTTCCGAGAAGGAGATCACACAGATGTGAGAAAGTAAGTGAGTTAATAGAACAATGTAATTATAGAGTAGTTGCTAGGTTGCTGCTTATGCAGGAACAATGACCAACTGGTTAATAGTTAAACTGTTCTGTTGGTCAGTCCATCAGGCTTGTTTCTTGACGAGCTCCGCAGCAGCCATGTTCTCAAGCAAAGGAGGGGTTTTTACTGCGGCCTCGATGCCTAGATCGAGCTTGCAGGCATTTGCCTGCCAGAGATTTCTAGCGACAGAACGAGAAAACAAAAGATAACACCCCTCGGGGACTGCGCCTGTCTTAGGTCGTCAGGAGTCACAGACATGTGGCTGGCCAGTGCCTTTTTTAGTCTGCCCCCGATCTTACCCGTCATTGACTGTCCAGTCCAGCGCACAGGGGAAGGGGATCTTATTCACTCTGACTCAACATATATCTGAGTAAAAGCCTCCCTTGTTTCACATCTACAATTTCATTTGCGTTCTGCCGCTGCAGAGGCAGCTGCAGTTCCCCCTTTATTTTTTATTTTTTATTTTTTTAAAGATTTATTTATTTATTTATTTATTTATTTATACAAGCACTGGGTACAGTCAGAAGCGCGGGAGGGCGAGAGAATTCACCAGAGCCAGAGCGGGGAGCAGAGCAGGCAGAAGGACCGAAGTACACTGCTGAGGGGAGCAGCGGGTGTGGCAGGAAAGGTCCGCGCGCCATGTGGGACCCCCCTCCGGTGGCCGGGGAGCAGCCGGGGATCGAACCGGCACCGCAGAGGCTGCGGGCAGCCTCGCAACCCAGCGCTCAACCGCTGCGCCACCGGGGAGGCCCTCCCCCTTTATTTTTAAGTTTAAGCTTCATGGCATGGATGTCACGTTTCAATCCAAACACAGTCTTCACCGAAAGGCGAGAAAAAATGGGAAATAATGCACAAAGAATGAAAACCATTAGAGCAAGAATGCCAAAAGAGATCAGGAAGTGAAGCCAATGAGACGGAGTGAGAGCTTGAAGAGAATTGGCAAACGATTGAGCAAAGGTAGAAATAGACGGCTCAGAGAGCTGAGAATGACTGATGGCAGAAATCTCAGATTGCAGAGTGGAAATGTCATGAGAAAGAGCATTGTCCTGCCAAATGCTCAATAAATGATTTTTGGTAAGATTCCAATTAAGAGAAGAATTGTAAACCTTAGGGGTCACACAAATAAACCGAAATTGAACATGGCAACGAGTGGACATTTGTCTCTTAATAAGTTGAACCTCTTCACCAAGAGCCAAGACCGTTTCTTCCAAGGCATTTAACTTTTGTTCTATTTTCTGATCAATATCCCGTTGTGTGGCTAAAGCCAGGGACACATTTCTAGTAAGATCATTAACATGATGAGCCGTATGAACTTCCTGAACTAGGGCTACTGAGGATACAGTGAGAGAAGTCACAATCGCAATTAAAGCCAAAATACCTAAAATAAGCGAAGCAACAAAACGTTTAGGACGAATTAAGGCACTGACTTCCTGAATAATCTGTAAGGCAGAATTGTCAAACCATGGGGTGTCCTTCAAATCAACAGGTAACATAACATATGAAGGTCTTTTTAGTACAACCATGGCAGAATAATTATAAACAATGTTAGGAGTCAAACAATTAGATAAAATACATTGAGAACAAAAAACAGAATCAGAATTCCCGTGGCGGGAAATATTCATTGTTTTAGTAGATCCAAAAAGCAATGCATAAGGGTATCCAACACAAGAGCGAAGAGCGTAGGTCGAACGGTTCAGATATAACTTGAGAAGAATGAAAGTCTGACATGCCTCCAAGAACAGCAGTATTATTAACATAAACCTTAAGAGCGGTTTGCTCTCCCCAACCCACAGGATGTAAAACAGGTGGCTCAGGAAAGTAAGCCCAATAATCTTCTGCATTGACAGGAGCAGAATGAATGGTAAGTACAGCTACAAGGGCCAAAAATAAGGATGACAAAGTGAATGGCTGTCCTTGAGTGCGAACAAGAGTTTCAGCGGCCCGTGTCAGGTTTTTGAGCTGACCCCAGGTCGGGAGATTTCCGGTCGTTGGGGCGTCCGTGATCCGAAGGCGCCTGAAGTTTCTCAGCATCCTGGCCGTTCTCAAGTGCTGGCGACGGGTCCTGTGGCGCTGAACAGTGTCTGATGAGTCTGTCGGGGATCCAGATGGGACTTTCGGCATCCTGCGGAAAGACGCAAGCATAGACTCGACCCGAAGCAATTAAGACATCAGGCCCTTTCCAGGAACCAGTTAACAAATCTTTCCATTTCACACATGGGAAAGAAGACATTTCCATATGACCCCAATGTCTCATCATGGGAGTAATTCCTTTATCATGAGAATTTAAATGATTTAAAACAAACAAAGCATGTTGCAGAATGTGATGAGATGAATAAAAATGAGTAACTGCATGTAACCGTTCGATCTGAACTTTTAAAGTTTGATGTGCTCTTTCAATAATAGCTTGCCCTTGTGGGTTATAAGGAATACCAGTCACATGAACAATCTGCCATTGTGCGCAGAAAGACTGAAAAGCCTTAGAGGTATAAGCTGGCGCATTATCAGTTTTTATTTTTAAAGGCTTTCCAAGCACCGCAAAACACGCTGTCAGATGTTGAATGACATCTTTAAGTGCTTCCCCTGAACGGGCAGTGGCATAAATTGCATGAGAAAAAGTATCCACTGTAACGTGGACAAAAGACAATTTTCCAAATGATGGAATGTGAGTCACATCCATTTGCCAAAGAACTTGTGGCTTTAACCCTCGTGGGTTAACTCCCATTTTTTTTTTTTATTTTATTTATTTATTTATTTATTTATACAAGCACTGGGTACAGTCAGAAGCGCGGGAGGGTGAGAGAATTCACCAGAGCCAGAGCAGGGAGCAGAGCAGGCAGAAGGACCAAAGTACACTGCTGAGGGGAGCAGCGGGCGGCAGGAGAGGTCTGCGCACCATGTGGGACCCTCCTCCAGTGGCCGGGGAGCAACCGGGGATTGAACCAGCGCTGCAGAGGCTGTGGGCAGCTTCGCAACCCAGCGCTCAACCGCTGCGCCACTGGGGAGGCCCTTAACTCCCATTTTTAATGGATGATGAACATCTGGGCACTGTGCACAGTTCTTAACAATTTCTCTGGCCTGTTCCCTGGTAATATGAAACCTATGCCTTAAAGCATTGGCATTTTGATGATGAAACTTATGGCTGAGCTGAGCTTGTGTGACTGTGCCAACAACATGTTTTTTAGTCAATAAATCAGCCATTTGATTACCCAGGGCCAAAGAGCCTGGCAAATTAGAATGTCCTCTGATATGTCCTATATATAATTTTGCAGATCTATTCTGAACTAAAATTTGCAACTTTTGTAGCAGTGGAAGAATATGAGAGGAACCTGACAATAATGCAGTCTCTAGTGCAGGAAATAAAGAGACTACATACTTAGAATCAGAATATAAATTCACCGGTTGAGCAAAATGCTCAAGGGCCATAATGACTGCAATAATCTCCGTTTGTTGTGCAGAGACATTTGCAGTGACCTTTTGTAAAGGTTCATCTTCAGGGCTATATACTGCAGAGACCCCGGATGAAGAGCCATCAGTGAAAATGACCTTTGCTTTAAGTAATTGTTCCGAACTAATGACTTTTGGAAAAATCAGCTCAGTCTCTTCTGCGAATTTTAATAAAGGATGCTGAGGTAAATGAAATTTAATTTGTCCTGAAAAGTTTAGCAAAGCAATACTTCAATTATCATCATTCTGCGGTAAATATTCAAACTGAGTCCTGTTATAAGGAATAACAATGTTTGAAGGACTTTTGCCAAATAATTCTTTTGATCTACTGAGACCTTTCATGATAAGAAAAGCACACATGGTTGCATAAGCAGTCACCACGCGAGTTTGTGAGTGTGCCAAATACACCCATTTAATTATGTCTTTCTGCCATAAGCAGGCTGTAGGAGTATAGGCTGTTTTGAGAATTAACAGATCCCATGGTAATTTATAATTAAGTTGAACTACTTTAGCCTTAGATATTTTTTGTTTAACTAAATTTAATTTTAGCAGTGTCTTTGGTGTTAAACTTTCAGGAGATTGTGGATTAGGATTCCCCTGAAGAATTTTAAATAAAGGATGTAAATTTCCAGTAGTAATTTTTAAATAAGGCCGGATCTAATTTATATTTTTAAACAGTTTTTGAAAATTATTTAAGGTTGTAAGTTTGTTTACTTGAATTTGAATATTCTGAGTCATGATAAAGTTATTATGAATAACTTTACCTAAATAATTTAAGGGTCTATTTCTTTGAATTTTATCTGGAGCTATAATAAGGCCAAATGCCGTCAAATTCTTTACTAAATGTTGCAGAACCAGCTCAACCATGTCCCTAGATTTATGACTTAGTAAAATGTCATCCATATAGTGAATAATATAAGCTTTAGGAAACTCCAGCCTTGTAGCTTGCAAGGCCTGATCCACAAATTTTTGACAAAGAGTGGGTGAATTTTTCATTCCTTGCGGCAATACCTTCCATTGATACCTCTGCCAAGGTCTTTGAAAATTACTAGATGGGACACTAAATGCAAATTTCGGGCAATCCTCTGGATGTAATTTTATTGTAAAGAAACAATCTTGTAGATCTATAATGATGACATAATTGCCTTTAGGAACGGCAACAGGAGAAGGCAGGCCAGGCTGTAAAGCTCCCATATAGTGCATTGTTGTATTTACTGCTCTTAAATCCTGGAGTAACCTCCACTTTTCTGATTTTTTTCTTTATTACAAAACTGGAGTATTTTATGGACTATTGGATGGCTCCAAATGTCCTTTTTGCATCTGTTTTTGTACTATAGTCTGTATAGCCTGGATCTTTTCTGAGGTCAGGGGCCACTGATAGATCCAGACAGGATCTTCAGTTTTCCAAGCAATTTTATCAGCGTATAATTGTTCCTCAATGGCCCCTATAAAAAAGCCTGTTCATCTATTGAGTCAGGGGTAATTAACATTACTTTCATTGATTCCATAATGTCACGACCCCATAAAGAAAACGGCAGAGCAGCAACCACATGTGGTTGAAAGCTGCCTGTTTTCTTTCCCATCTGCCAATTAAGTAATTGAGAACTCTGTGCCACATTGTTAGCCATGCCTAAACCTATTAATGTAGAAGAAGTATTAGTAACAGGCCATGCTGAAGGCCAATCTTTTCCTGCAATACAGGATCGATCAGCTCCAGTGTCCAACAGGCCCATGATTGGGCGTCCATTCACCAAAAGTTTTTGTAACAGTCTGTCTCTGGTAATTGATTGAGCCCATGCTATCACATTAGTAGAACCAAATCCGCCTTCACCTCGGATTTCCTTCAGTACCAGGTTAGGTAAATTTACATAATTCATAACAAGAATTTGAGCTATACGCTGATTTTTGTGAATCTGAATTCTTTCTTTTAATGGTCTAATCATAACTTTTACTTGACCCATATAGTCAGCATCAATTATTTCTGGTAACACCTCAAATTTTTTTTTGTAATTTGAACTACGTCCAATTATTAATCCTACAGTGCCCTGTGGCAAGGGTCCTTTTAAGTAGGTGTCCACTAATTGGACACCGTCCATGGAAGAGAGCATAACATCCTTAATAGCTGCTAGGTCTAAACCAGCACTACCCGGAGTTGCCCTGGGTAAAGCATGAGTATCAACCATTGTTTGTTCAGCTGGTTTACTCTCCTTATCATCACTAGGTGGCAGCATCCCTCCTTCTTTTACGGGGCTGAGGGTTCGCCCCTCTTCTGGTTTTTTTGGAACTGCATTCTGCACATTATTGGATTCAAGTTGGTGACCATCTCTGTGCCATTTAGAACGACACTCATTAGCCCAATGGTTGCCTTTAGCACACCGTGGACAAGGTCCAGGAGCAGGATTAGAGCGATTTTCATTAAATTTCCTATTTCTGTTTCTACACCCTTTACTAAAATGACCAGGTTGATTGCAATGAAAACAAACAGGCCGAGAGCTACAACCTCGTTTGTCTTTAGGCATAGATTGAACGAATGTAGAAAACGGCTGACCCTTCATTGCTGCTGCATATGCCAAGCCCTGGACAACAGCTGGAGTTGCATCCAGACAAGCTTTAATAAAATCCTGTACACCCCCTGATTTTCGTATTGGTCTTATAAATTTTTTACAAAGTGAGTTAGCGTTCTCCAAGGCCAACTGTTTTAATAATAGTTCCTTAGCTTCCGATGAAAAAGGAAGCATTCTACCCAAGGCTTCCTCTAATCTAGCAATAAAATCCTGATAAGGCTCATCCTGCCTCTGACGAATACCTGCCAAGACTGTGGAGTGTCCTTCCGGAGAAGGAAGTTTTTTCCAAGCTGCCACAGCCATTTTTGAAATTTTTGTCAGAGTTTCTAGAGGGATAGTCAATTGTTTTTCAAGGGAAGCATAATCTCCCTTTCCTGTCAACATAGGAATAGTAGGTTTAGATCCTTTTTTTTAGTATATTCTTTTTTATGCAATCCTGAGCCTGATCTTCAAATTTAATTCTCCAGATAACATATGCTCCTGGAGAAAGGACTGATTTTGCAGTTTGATGCCAATCATAAGGCGTCAGCCACATAGCTCCTAGCATCTCTACTATCTGTAGCGTGTAAGGAGAATTTGGACCAGTAGTTTTTACAGCCGATTGTAATTTTTTTTAAAGTTTTTAAAGGGATAGCTTCCCATTGATGGGGTGAACTATTATCTATAACTTCCACGGGGAAAGAAAATGTAAAATCCCCATTTTTACAAGCTTCATCAGCCGCTCCCAAAATCCCCCCAGGAGGGAGGGTACGAGGCCGATGTCTCTGTGGCTGATTTTTAAATTGTTTCATAAGAGGAAAAAAGGTTTGTTGGGCAGGTTGGTGATCTCGAAATTCATCCAGTTGAGGTTGTGCAGCTTGTTGTTCCAAGTTTATTTGATCAATTTGGTCTAAAATTTCCTCATAATCCGAATTATCGTGGGGATCATTATCATTTGGAGAATCATAATGAACAAAGTCTACCATATCATTTATTGGAGCAGATGGAATTTTTCCTGTGGCATAGTTTTTACTTGGGGGAGAGGCGAATGGTACTGTCTCAGGCTCACTAGCATTTTCTTCTCTCCATAATTTTGCCTCAGTGCTATCCACTAATAGATCTCTAATTTGCACCCATAGGGAAAAAGCCTGAGGGGGGACCTGTGTAGGCCCCTGCTGGTTATAAAATTTTTTAATCTCCTTGTCCACTTTTTTCCAATTGTCAAGAGACAAACTCCCTTCCTCTGGAAACCATGGACTTACCTTTAAAATAAACTCATAAAGCTCTACAAAGGACTTTTTACTTACCTTCATTCCTCTTCCTTCGAGCATGTGGCCCAAAATGGAGAGAAAGAGGTCTCTATTCTTAGTTTGCAGTTGTCCCATGTTTAAATAGACGGGGTCACACACTGGCGCTGGCCGGCTCGCGTCCCTCGCGGGAACTTTGGGACGTCTTAGCTAAGGTCTGTCCGTATAAGTCCTGGACCAGGCTGTTCCAAGGAACAGATGACCGTTATGCCGTATGACGTCCCGCGAGTGACCGGGTGCAGCTCACTCAGACTCCGTAGCCCAAGCCGTGGAGCCAACAATGACATCCACACACACACGCACACTCACAATTCTTAACATCCTGGCCTTCTTGAACTGATGATCCTTTATCAGCGAGCCCGCGGCGCTCCGGCGAGGAACCTATCCTTGACTTAATTTTAGAGAAATAGAAAGTAAAGAGAAAAATAGCTAACCCTTGCTCAGAATCTAGTTTACCTTCTCTCAGGTCCAAAATCTTTCTTTATATTGAAGCGAGTCGAGCCCCACCTTGGGCGCCACCTGCCGCCGACCGGCGCAGCGGTAGATTAGCAAGGCTGACCCCAGGGATGAGAGACTGAGCAGGGGGGTCAAGGATTCGGTAAAAAATGACAGACACACTTCAGGAGTGAACATCTGACTGTAATGTGCTCAAAATCATCATACATTTTTAAACATTTTTTAACAATGGATGATTTCATACAAGTTAATTTTTTCTCAGCATGAGATGATTACTAATACCCACGTAACACATCATGCTATCTATCATTGTAGACGTGATTAGTGTTGCATAGTAAAGTACAAAAAACAATCTCAAGGTAACGATCACAGGACTCTAAGCCTACACAATTATTCATGATTACAGAACAACATTCTTTAAGCTAGTTTTTCTTGTTCTGTTTCCAAGGCTTCAGCTTAGCAGATTTTATAAAAAGTTTAATATTTATCCTAGTCTACATTTCACTTCAGGTAATCACATAGCAATTTTTATGTATGTAAGAAATTTATTATTTATGGTATTGTCTCATGTGAGAAGTATTGTGGTTACTAAAAAACTAATATTAACACAAATCATTTTCTTTGTCATACATTTCCGAGAAGGAGATCACACAGATGTGAGAAAGTAAGTGAGTTTTACTGCGGCCTCGATGCCTAGATCGAGCTTGCAGGCATTTGCCTGAATTGAATGCCAGAGATTTCTAGCGACAGAACGAGAAAACAAAAGATAACACCCCTCGGGGACTGCGCCTGTCTTAGGTCGTCAGGAGTCACAGACATGTGGCTGGCCAGTGCCTTTTTTAGTCTGCCCCCGATCTTACCCGTCATTGACTGTCCAGTCCAGCGCACAGGGGAAGGGGGTCTTATTCACTCTGACTCAACATATGTCTGAGTAAAAGCCTCCCTTGTTTCACATCTACAATTTCATTTGTGTTCTGCCGCTGCAGAGGCAGCCGCACTACAGTGGAAAAATGAGAGGAATCCCAGACAGACCTCCATCTCCCAGAGTTGACAATTATGTGGGCATGCATGTGTATGACTCCTGGCTTCACGGCTCCTGGCTGGCGGCCAGCTCTCAGAGTGCCATTGGGATTCCAGATCGGTGGATTGGGTAGGACACATTTAAAACTTTGTCTCCCACTTTTCTCCCTGAGTTGTACATTTCCTCATTTGCCCTTCCCTTGTAAATAAACCTTTTATTAACCTTTCGCGTGTGCCTGCAGTAGAGTATTGATAAGTCCGTTTAAGCGCGCGGGTGAGGGCCCACAGTCAGGCAACCGTTTTGTATCGGGGCTGCCCTATAACAGTTTGGTGCCCAGTGTAGTTTCCAAGTTACACCCACGGTTGACCAACCTGAAGTAACATTCCTTGCATTGGTCACCATAAGTGCCCTAGGTCTGCAGGACTGACAGTGTAATCTTTGTCTCAAGTCCTGAAAAATCTGTTTTTTTCCTGTGCGTACAGCTCTTGTGGGTGTGTTTTTGACTCAAATATGGCCTCAACCATGAGCTTATACAGTGATAAATGATAACTAAAAAGCTCTTTGTGTCTATATGTTGTATGTCTGTAGGTCCTTTCCTTGTGTCCTTGTCTTGGCCTCCAGTGGTTCACAAATTGGTATACATGGTGCCCATAGACACTGAGGGAAAAAAAGAAAAAAAGAGTCTCCAGTTATGAGGAAACACAAAGGTTATGGTTTCATTGTCAACATTGTACTACTGAACTAAGCTGGTGCCTTCATAGAGATTGAACATTGTTGTTTCTGTTATTTTTCTGATATTTATGGCAAAGCTTCTCAGAAATCTAAATTCAAGTACAAATTTGGTAGCCTGTCATTTGGCTGATGCAAGGAAATTTTGTGGAACTTCAGTAGAGCTCCTGAGACACTTCACAAAGTTTCTCCCTTTCCGCCTGGGAAAGGCATTAAATGAATTTGTTCTATTTGGCTCACCTAGTAGAGTAAAACTAGAAGGGAAGCATTGTCACTTGGGAAAATGGGTAACACCTTGACCTGATATGAATGTAAATTGTCAATGGTGATGGTCACCTTGTAACATTGTATACTTCAATTTTTTAATATCTACAGAAATTGTTTCTGGAAATATAGGGAGAAAAGATCTCAACAGATTCCTATTGATGGAACTGTTGAGAGTAAAACTTTCCTACTAAGGACTGAATAGACCTGGAAATACACCTAATATTTACTAAATTTTCTTTGACATAATACTGGTAATTTTTTTGCATTTTGTTCTGAATCCACAAAGTTTTCTTGTTTTGGTGACCAAGATCTGCAGCAAGGTTGCAACTATTTTTTTCCAGCAAAGCTAACTTGTGTTTGCATTTTCTCTCCCCTTGATACCAACACAGCATAAAAATAGTGGTAGTAATCTTTTACTAATTTTATCTCAAATATTTTATCTCAAAGTCTGTTTTTGCATAAATTCCATAGGGATTTTGTTTGCTTAAACTAAAAGATTGGACATAAGTTTCATTGTGTGGCTTTGAGTGGAGTTCTTCCAGAAAGTTAAAACAGAGCTGAACCAAGAAGAGGAAAACCTGTTTGCTTTGTTCGTAGGGTTCCAGAGACCTCCAAAGAAGGTGAGGAAGCTTGCCTCCATTGGCAGGACTGGACAGCCCAGCCAACAAAAAGTCCCTGGTACCTTCGAGAAGAGGAAAGCCCAGGTGGAGTCTGACGAGACCAACTTTGTTCCTGAAGCCTACATGGACCGGATGTCAACAGTTCGCTCTGATCCTATATGGAGTATTCCAACAAAGCCAGCTAAAATTGCTGCTTAGTTATTCTGCCCTGTGATTTTATGCAAAAATAGGCAATATGGTTTAAAAGTACCTTTAGTTTGCAAACTTTTGCTATGCTGTTCAAAAATTTGGGATCAAGGTTGACAGAATTTGTTTTTACATAAGTTAAACCATTTTAAGATTTTTTTTTTCCTGTGATTTTGACATATTTACTGTCTTGTTCTGGCTAATGCCTCCAGATGTTTTTTTTCGGCTTGGACTGATAAACTGTTTTTCCAGGAAGGGAGGACTTTTGCTTTCCACAATGAACAATACCTGGAGGGACTGGTTTTCCTTCACACTGGAACCCTAAAAAATTTTCATCTGAGACTGTATCCCAGCATCCATATATTTGATATTCATCACCATGGAAATGGTGGCAAAAAGTGAAAGGGGAGAATTGTTAGGGGGAAAGAATGTCCTGAGCTAATTCCATGTAGGCTTTGTGGACTCCACCCCCACTCCAGACCAAAGCCATCAGGACATTGGGAAAGACAAATCCCGTCATCACCAAAGGGAAGGTGGCTGGGACCTGAGGGTGGAGTTAAGCAGCCAGGGTTGGTATAAAAACCAGACACGTGGGCCTTGGGGGGCTCGCTCTCTCGCTCGCCTCCTGGCTTCACGGCTCCTGGCTTGCAGCCAGCTCTCAGAGTGCCATTTGGGATTCCAGATCGGCGTATCGGGTAGGACGCATTGAAAACGTTTTCTCCCACTTTTCTCCCTGAGTTGTACATTTCCTCATTTGCCCTTCCCTTGTAAATAAACCTTTCATTAACCTTTCATGTGTGCCTACAGTAGAGCATTGATAAGTCCTTTTAAGCGCACGGGTGAGGACCCACAGTCAGGCAACCCGTTTTGTATTGTGGCTGCCTTAACACTTTGGGTAGATCCCTAGGAGTGAAATTGTTGGATCATATGGTAGCTCCATTTTTAATAGTTTTAGGAACCTCCACACAGCTTTCCATAGTGGTTGGACCAGTTTGCACTCCCACCAGCAGTGTAGGAGAGTTCCTTTTTCTCCACATCCTCACCAACATTTGTTGTTTCCTGCTTATTTAATGTGTGTCATTCTCACTGGTGTCAGGTAGTGTCTCATTGTGGTTTTGATTTGCATTTCCCTGATTACAAGTGATGTTCAACATTTTTTCATATACCTATTAGCCATTTGCATTTCCTCTTTGGAGAAGTGTCTTTTTAGCTCTTCTGCCCATTTTTTTTTTAATTAATAAATTTTATTTTTATATTCCTCATACAATTGCAATCCCCCCATTCTGACCCCAATCCCTCCCCTCCCGCCCCCCACCCCCCAAAAGTGTCTCTGGTTCATAGTTTTTGTTGATTTTGATTTTCACTTTCTTATAGTTATTCATTTTCCTGGTCCCTTATTTAAGTTTTCTAGATTCCTGCTATGAGTGAGACCATCCGGTATTTTTCTTTTTCTTTTTGGCTTATTTCACTGAGCATGATCCCTTCCAGCGCCATCCATGTTGCTGCAAATTGCATGTGTTTATCTTTTTTGAATGCTGAGTAATATTCCATGGTATATATGTACCACATCTTCTTGATCCAGTCATCTATTTTTGGGCATTTTTTGACCAGACTGTTTACTTTGTTTTTGTTGAGTCATGTTGATGTTGGCACTAAATGACATGAAGACTCCCTTCGTGGTCACCAAAATGTTGTCGTTTTTGTAGAGTGTGGGTCCTTGGGTTCACTCTGGGAAAGGTTTTGTAACAGGGTGGTCCCCAGGAAAGGGGGAGTTTCCCTGCCCCATCCAAGGGAGGGTGGAGCTGAGCAGGGAGAGGAGAAGCTGCAGAGAAGATTGAGGAAGGAAACAAAATGGAGCCAGAAGGAGACCTGGAGGAGGTGCATGGAGCCTAGAGACACGTGAAAAAACTGCGCTTGTCTTTTGGTTGTGGACTGGGTGACACAGATGTGGGTGAGACTCGTGGGGAGGTGACAATGGCAGCTTTTATCTTGATTTTGATTTTGCTCTTTTCCTTCTGGGTTTGTCTGGTTGTTTTGTTAGGGGGAAAGGATGTCCTGAGTTAATCCTATACAGGCTTTGTGGACCCCACCCCCACTCCAGACTAAAGCCATCAGGACATTGGGAAAGACAAATCCCGTCACCACCAAAGGGAGGGTGACTGGGACCTGAGGGTGGAGTTAAGCAGCCAGGTTGGGTATAAAAACCA